CACCTGTTTTTGAAAAAAGAAAATAATCTACGTGTAAACATAAAAAAAACTACAAAATAGCTCAAATAAGTCCTGGTACTAGTACCGCCTTAAAAAATAAGTTCCGGTACTCAGAATTTCACCCTGCTGGTACTTTAACTGTATAATATTTTCAAATATTAACTTTTGAGATATGCATGTTTTCTTTAAATCTAGTTACTCCAAATATTGTTCCATGTAAACATCGTGTTTGTGTTAGCTTCTTATGATTTCCAGAATATTCTCAGATTTTTTTTGATGCCCAGTTTTTCACGGATATGATTATTAGTACTGCATTAAACATGAAACAAAAGTCTCTTGATAGACCTAGGACACATTATTATGATTTTGAAATAATATTTAGTATTCCATTTAAAAACAATTATTTTTGACATACGTTTACTAAAATACTAAACCCTAAAATGAAATAAATTGGCAGTAATAGGTTATCTACTTTTTCATACTGTTATGGTAAGAAATAAATACGGAGAATAGTTTATTTATACTTATACAAAATAAAATAGACAACTTAAAACAAATATAATAGATCAAACCTTGGAAATCTTTTCCTTCTTCTCTCTAATATACAGCTCTTCCCCGTGTTTTGTAAAGCTATCGGATTTAGAAGTAGCTTGTTTTGAAGGCACACTGCACGAGGAAAGAACGTAATTTGTTTCCTCTCTATAAATGTCGAAATTAGCTTTTTCTGAAAGGCTTATAGAGAATCATCATGACGTTCTGCACGATGCACACTACTCCGACCCTAACAATACGTAACTATTGTTGGTAAGTAGTTGATTGGTTATCTCTGATTTGATGTCACTGTGATGTCAGTTAGTGACATGTGATGGAGAAACTTGTAAATACTTTATCCAAACAGTAGAAACACAAAGCTACAAGAACAATGATCACATGATTTTTAAAAGAAAGTAAAACGTGAACTTTGGAGTTTAGGGAGTTTAAAATTACACCAGAAGAAAATATCTCGGAAGATGACTTTTTTTACAAGAGAAGTCTTAGTTATGACTTTTACTTTATAATAGTTAAAACAAGTTAAGCATCTTAACATAAAAACAGACTTGAAAGTGTCAAAAAAACTATTTCGTCTAACGTGTCTTAGGAGAAAAATGTTCTTCTTCGGATCACAAATCCACAGAATGCGTGGGATAGTTAGAACACTGCAAAACATGATGCAAGAAACGAGCTAATATGTTAGCAAAGTTAACACAGGCAACTTGTAGCAGTAATAACATGGAAAACTTTAGCTATGTATAAAGCAACACTACAAAGTAAAAGGTAATTATCTATTCATTTACATATGTTACTGTAAATAACTTTTGCTCAAAGCGAGTTATCAAGTAATCACTCGATCGTATTAAAAAAAAGAAAAGAAAAACGGGAAAAGGTCTATATAGAGTTTCATCTCGTATTTCTACGTTAATATCAAGTACAAATTATTTCATTCCTGTAATCTGCGGACATCAGCCGTGGGGGGCGTTAAAATGTAAAGGTCAGTCTCATTCTTCGTTAGTAAAAGAGTATCCCTCTAGTCTTTCACTGCCAAGTTAGGGACGGCTACTTGGAGAGGTTACGAGGTAAAATCTTCCGAGAATTACGGATGACGTATCAGCATTCAAGGTGTTCCATAGTCGTAGAGGTCTCGGGATATCGGATAGTCTCACTATGTAAATTTCATGTCGTAATAAATTAGTTTTTCTTTTAACTGGAAATTTTAACACAATATTTTCACCTTTAACTCATGTAGCAATTCAAAAATCACTTGTATTTCTGATAACCCCATTTATTGCTTCATTTGTTTCAAATAAAGATATGCTGGATAATCTTCTTTAAGACGAAAGAGATATGCTGGACAATCTTCTTTGAGACGAAAGAGATATGCTGGATGATCATACTCTTGTCTAGGACAAGGAGATAGGCTAAAATTGTCTTCTCTAAGATGAGAAAGATAAATTATATAGTCTTCTCCTAGACTATGGAAATAGGCTATAGGGACAGACATGATCTCTAAGGTGAGAGAGATAGGCTACCCAAAAACAGGAACCTTGGCTCTGTAGTCTTCACATGACAATGAGATAGACCAAAAAGTATTCTCCTAGACTATGGAAATAGGCTACAGGGACAGACATGATCTCTAAGGTGAGAGAGATAGGCTACCCAAAAACAGGAACCTTGGCTCTATAGTCTTCACATGACAATGAGATAGACCAAAAAGTCTTCTCCTAGACTATGGAAATAGGCTATAGGGACAGACATGATCTCTAAGGTGAGAGAGATAGGCTACCCAAAAACAGGAACCTTGGCTCTATAGTCTTCAAAAGAACAATGAGATAGACCAAAAAGTCTTCTCCTAGACTATGGAAATAGGCTATAGGGACAGACATGATCTCTAAGGTGAGAGAGATAGGTTACCCAAAAACAGGAACCTTGGCTCTATAGTCTTCAAAAGAACAATGAGATAGACCAAAAAGTCTTCTCCTAGACTATGGAAATAGGCTATAGGGACAGACATGATCTCTAAGGTGAGAGAGATAGGCTACCCAAAAACAGGAACCTTGGCTCTATAGTCTTCAAAAGAACAATGAGATAGACCA